GAGGCTGGTCCGGAAGAGCTCGATCCTGACCTTTCTGTGCCTCCTGGCCTGGGACCCGATGAGCCTGGAACTGTTTTTTGGGGGGCTCCTGGTCTCTGTCGGTTGCGGCCTCCAAGATGGTCTATTCCAAGGCTGGTAACAGCTCCAGTGTCGACTAGGGGCCCTCCAATGAGGCTCCGAGGGCTTGCTGGGCGAGCCTCAGGATGGGCCCCGAGGAGGCTACCTTCCCGAACTTCTTGTATGCCATTGGGAGCAGGAGGTTCTGAGTGTGATGCCGATGGGTAATGTGGGAAAAATCCTGCAGCGCCGCCACTACCCAGTCCATGCTGTCTCCCCACTGGTCGTAAACGTGCAAGGCTGGCTGTGCTGCTCATATTGGCCGAGGTTGCGTCAACACTCGGCTTCAACGAACCTTTGGCCTCGTAGGTGGCCAGCGCCGATCCTGCTACTATCCCCTCCATGGGTAGAGAGCAGTGTCCAAGTAGCAGTCCAGCAGCAGGTGCCTAGGCCACTGGTAGGTGGATGCCCCGGAAAAGCTCCGCCCTTGCACTCTGCCTCCAGACGGTGTCAGCAGGGGACCCCCTGGGATCCATTGGGGATTGCCCTTCGAGCACATCAGAGAGTTCCCGATATCTGGCCTGCTTCTTCTGGATCTTCCCAAATACTCGAACAGACTCAGGGAAATTATCAAGAGGTCTCTTCGCCGAACGTTCTGGCGTGGGGGCCAGGAGGGCAATCGGCCTGCAGATATTGGAAGGATCGCGGCGCGTGGTCTTCATGAGCTGAAGCATGACCGAAACAATGAAGAGCTTATCTTCGGACAGGATGGACAAGTGGCGAGGGTGCCACCCATCTGGCTTGCAGGTGGACTCTTTAAATCGTTGAGAAATCGATCTGATGCACTCTTCACTGGGCCTCCTGCCTAAAGGTATGTCAGGTGGTACAAAGCAACGCGGGCATGGCTCCTTCTCAGAAGCTCTCCAAGCTCCTTCAAACAGACCTCTGGTGCTCAAGTCGTTTCTCGAGGGATGTGCTTTGGAGGATCCGAACGACCTGTTCATCCGAAAGGGTGTCCCCCCAGCGCTGGGAATACGTGCTGGGGACCCCTTTGAGAAGATTAGGGGCAGCTTTGGAACCGTTGGATTCGATTGCTTCTAGGCAATCTCAGTTTCACCCTATCCTGTCCAATTGCTGATCCGAGAGGTGGATCCGTTTTTTTGAGAAACTATGCGAACTCGGTAGGGTCGGGGAGGATGTTGAGAGCACCGTCGCAGTCACCTATCAAGATGATGTCGAGGGCCTTCAACATGGGGTGCCAGAAGCTAGCGCCATCGCGCCACATGGTCCTGAACGGGCCACCTTTGGAGTCTATCTTGGAAAGCTGTCTGACCAGGGAGAGGAGGTATGAGTAGGTTTAGTGAAGGCTCCCCTTGTCAACCACCGCCTGCACCTCCGTCAGCCTCCACACCACCCATCCGACCTCTTGGGAGGGCGGGGGAAAGTTTGGGGCTTTTGTCGCCAGCCCGCGTGATACTGGTCTTGGAGTCCCACTCCATATGATGTCCTGCATGTGCTCCTGAGGGCTGAGAACCTGCGATAGTCTTGAGCTCGGACCAAGCCTGGCTGTTCCAGCATACAATAAAGCATAATCCAGGATGTCTGGCACTTCTTGGAGTTTGGTTCCCGACAACGTGGTATGTTCGGCATCGAAACCTCCCACGCAGTCAAATAACGGCGTCAGGTCCTGGACCAGCTTGTCGTACCCTAGTGGTTCATTCGAGGCCCGATAAGAGGAACCGTTGGGAGCTTCTGGCACTGCTCTGGGACCTGGATCTTGATGTCCTTGGTGTTGCGGCGAAGGTCCATGGCAACTTGCCTGTGGGGCTCAAGGACTGCGGACAAGTCGGCGGCGACCTTGCTGCGCACCGCGTCGAGCCCCGTGTGAATGGCAAACAAGTCGATGGTGATGCTGATAGGCTTGCCCTCAAAAACGCTCGTGCAGGTTGGCGCGTTGGTCGGAGCCCTGGCAACTCCTCGCAGCAACTGGGACAGGAAGCCGAGCGTTACAGTTGCAGGGGAACTGTTGAAGTCAGCACCTAGGATGTACGGAATGCCACGGTCAGAGACCACCTCCGCGAAGTTCTCCAGGATAGGGGATAGGGATATTCCTGGGAGGCAAGCCTCCGTTGTAGTAAACGTACCCCGGGTAGATGCAGAGAATCCCCAAGCTTTAGATTTGGACAAAGCACCCAGAGAGCATCCCAGGGACCACGGTGGAATCGGGACTCCGGGCCTCCAGATGGCCCTTGACTAGGACCATCGTTTCCCCAGACGCTTTGCCACTGATGTGCTGGATAGCAGCCGTCCCAAACACCTTCCAACCCTGGTGCCTGAGCTGATCCGTTCTGTCCTTGAGCCTAGGTTTCAGAAGGCGATGGTGTCTCCCATGCACGCCAAATTGGGGAGCAACTTTTTGCCCGTCCACCACGAGTTGACATTGCACGTGATGACAGCGAGGGTCTCCGTCGGTGCCTTCTTGCTAGAGACCTTTGGGGGCATTCGGTATGTCAGCCTGCACTGGTCGAGGAAGGGGACGCAAACCATTTGGGGAAGTACGCCTCAGCAAGCCGAGTCATCTCAGCAGCTGATCCCGAAGAGCTCCCCGCAGGACTTGAGCGCGGTGAGGGTGGCGTGGCCAGCTTCACGAAGAACTTCCCTCCACTCGATCATCCCTTTGTCGAGGTCGTCGCTGGTTGGGAGTTCCAGGTCAGAAGTCGGTCGATCATCTGGGGCTCAACGTGGCGAATCTGTGTCCCAGCTGTTCCGATTCTTCTCCAACATACCAGCTCTCATTTCCAGCGCAAGCAAGTGGCGCAGTGCGTGCCCTCCCGTGGTGTTGTGGGGGGGGGGGACGTCACCGTCTGCCCAACAGTCCCAGCACAACGCGGGACGTGTGTTATCGAGTCGTGAAGCCCGTAACCCCTTCAGTGATGTCTTCGCCCCATCCGAAGTTGAAGTCGGCGGGGCAACCGAAGCAGGCGTGGTAGCCAGTGCACCATTCGTCCGAGAAAACCTACCGGTCGGCGCAGTTGGTTTAGGCAAAGCCATCGGTGTGCCACGCGTCACTAGTGGACTGGGGGTTACTGAAATTGACGACGGCATCGGTGTAGGCAAGCTCGTCAGCGTACCTCGCGCCACTGAAGGGCACAGAGTAGCCGAAACCGATCTCCTCATAGAACAACTTTTGGAACAATGGACATACTGAGCCCCGCCCACTGTTGAAGAGAAGACGGTGGCCCGCTCCCTGCACTGTCCTTGGATGCCGTCGCGGCCTTCAAGAACAGTTTTTCATCGTCTGGAATGTGAGTCTTACCAGCCGCCTTTTGCTCCTTCTCGGTGGGCAGGGTGGTGGCCTGTGGTGGCGGAGCACTGGCGCTGGCAGCCGCTGAAGGGGGCGGGACCGCTGCGCCTCCTTTCCCCGCCGCCGCACCTGGAGTTCCTTGGGCTTCAGCTGCAGGTTGGTCGTCAGCGTCGTCATTGCTTCTCCTCCTCTTGGCCTCCATCCTCTTGTTGAACACCCTCTGCTCTCCCGCGAGAGTCGAGGCTTTCTCGCGTGCAGCCCCGAACGCGTTCTTACAAGCGTCTCTGAACATGTTTAGAACTTTCTGCTTCCTCTGGTCGAGTTGCTCCCTCTCTGGCACAGAGCTGTCAACACCTATCTCTGACAGTCCAAAGACACCGTGATCATTCAATTCGAGGTCTCCACCATCCAACAAGGTAACCATATCCAACTTTGGCCTGGGTTCCTGACCAGCCCCTCCTTGTTTGGCATCGTTAGCGAGCGCAAGGACGGCTTCAGTATACTTAGACGGGCACTCCTTGTAGTTGGGCGTTGCCTTGGCTGCATCGGCTTTGGCTTGGGTAGCCGCTTCAGACTGCTGTTCCGCCACCCTGACCGCCTTGTCCAGGGTTGCCTTGGCTTGCTTCATGGCGTGCTTCGTGGCTCCCAGGGAGGGCGGATCAGGCGGTCGAGCGGCATGCTCCAATTTGGCGATCGTCTTCTGGTAGTGTTGAATATGCTTGGTGTCTCACAGGCCTCCAACAGTCTCGATCAATGTACGCAACATGGGTAAGTCTGTGGCCGAGTACGTACCTCCTGCTCTCTTCTGGTTTCCTGCCTATCCTGAAGTACCCAACTGGAGACCTGGCTGCAGTGCTTGGGAAGGAGCTCCGGGGGCGGGTGGACCACGGCCACCACCTGTGGGTGGTTCCCGTTGCCACTGCTGAGGGTTGGGGCCTGCGCGCACATTCCAAGAACCTTGGGCCAAAACGCCAGAGGTAGAAGACCTCCAAGGAGCCTGAGCGTTTGGATCCTGGTAGATCCATCGTGTTTGCACCATGTCCACCAAGTCTCGTTTCTTTGGCAACCGCACGCGTAGCTCCTTCAGCACTCCCCTCTGGGTGTACGTATTTTGAGGTGTACTTCATGGCGAGGCTGCCGAACCATTGACTTGTGCAGGCCCGAGACGAATCCTCGACAAGGGGTGTGAACGTGAAAGGTGCGTCTGGGCGCCCCGTTGATAGTTGTCGCACAGCGGCGGAGACCTCCAAGCTCGAGCCCCCGCGACAAGGGGTTCAGATTAGGGCAAAAATGGCTACGGCCCCCTCCTCCTCCTCCTCCTCTTCCTCCTCCTCCTCCTCCTCTTCCTCCTCCTCCTCCTCCTCCTCCTCCTCCTCTCCACTTCATCATTTTCGACCTCGTCAGGGATGGGTGCCACGACTTTCTCAGAGCTGCGGCTGTGGCTGGGGCGTCAAGATCGACTCGCGTTCCATGCTGCGCGCGCTCCTTCTTCTCCTCCACCTGCCCCCTCCTCTCCCTCCCCCCTCCTCCCACCGCGAAGGAGTCCTCTATTCCGGACACGGACGACGAGTGGGAAGCCAACAGTTCCCAGAGCCCTTGCCTGCTGCCGCGAGCGGGGCCCGTGCTGACCGTACCCTCCATGGTCAGCGGCGCCAGCGACATCGTTTTCGGGGCGTGTTACTCCCCGGTCCTCCATACTTCCCTTCCCTCTCCTCCATCTGCTCCCTCCTCTTCCCACCTCCCGCATCTCTCTTCCCCTTCCTCTCCCTCCCCCCTCCCCCCTTCTCCATCTGCTCCTCCTCCCTCTTCTCGTCCTGTTCCTCCACCTCCTCGATCTGCTTCTCCTCTATCCTTTTCTCCTTCTCCTGTCAATCTCCCCCTCCTTCCTCACTCTCCTCCTCCTTCTTCCCCTCCTGCTTCTTCTCCGCGGCTCACATGTGGAAGACTAGTGGTCCAGCGTTCCCAGTCGTGACGGGAAGGCTCGCCAGGGGTCTTCGTCGTGAACGACACTATCGCTCAACGGGTGCACCACTAACTCCTTCATCAATTCCGTCTGGGGCACAAACCCAGACAGAACCACCCCGCCCATCCCCTCTCCCAGAGCCACGGCGAGGATGGTTGGAAGAGGGGATGGGGACCGCTGCCTCTGTACTCCGCCTTCGGTAATGAGCGCAGGGGTTCCCCCCCCCCGGGGGCCACCTTCACCTCGTCGGCGCAGCGCGCCGTGTGCCAGAGCGCCAGTGGCTGTGCGCGACGCGGTCGATTTGCGGCCGTCGGCGGGGGTGGCGCCACCTGGCGCTTGTGATGGAGCTCCGGCTGCGACTCTGCAGGTCACGGTGCCGGAGGCCCCGCAGGTCATGGTCGTGCACCCGAGCGCCCCGAGCTTACAGGCCCCGAGTCCGTTGATGGGGGCTCGCTCGGGCCGCTGATCTGGCCGACCTGTCGATCTGTCGGGCCAATTGGGCAGTCGGTCAGCAGGCGTTGGATGATGATAGTCGTCGCAGGTTGGGGGGTGAGATCGAAGTGGAACGGAGAGCCCCCCACAGGGGAATCGGTTTCGGTTTCGGGTTCCTGTCGTGCGTGTGGGCGAGGCGAAGCTGTGTAGGCGGGAAGTATGAATGACTCCGTTGTGGCTAGGGCGGGTCCCTCCTCCCTCTCCGGTGGGCGAGCGGTGGCCGGGTTGTCCCGCCGTGGTTTCCCGTCGCTGTCCGCCTCTCCCCCGCGGTGGGCGGGCGGTTGCCAGGCTGCCCCGCCGTGGTGTCCCGTCGGTGTCTAGTCGGTGTGCCGTCGGTGTCCCGTTGGTGTTCGTTTCTGTCCCAGCGCTGTCTCGTCGGTGTTCCATTGGTGTCCCGTTGGCGTCCCGTTGGTGTTCCGTTCGTGTCCCCTCGGTGTCCCGTCGGTGTCCCGTCGGTGTCTCATCGGTGTCCCGTCGGTGTCCCGTCGGTGTCCCGTCGGTGTCCCGTCGGTGTCTTGTGGTGAGTTCGAAAATGAGATCGGTAGTGAGCTCGATAGTCAGATTGATGGTGAGATCGAGCGAGAGATATCGATGGTAAGGCCGATGGTGAGATAGAACGTGAGATCGAACGTGAGATCGATTGGTGCCCCGATGGTCTCCCGATGGTGCCCCGATAGAGTTCCGATCGCAGCGCAGTGGTGGTGGCTTTTATTTGGCCCGATCTTGTTCTGATGGTGTTCCGATCGTACTCAGCATTACCGCCGTTGCTGCCGCCGCCACACTCATTACCACTGCGGCCATCACCATGCGATCAGCAGCCAGCCACCACACCTAGCACCAAACATCACAGCACAGTAGTGGTGGCATTTATTTGGCCTCATGGTGCCCTGGTGGTGTCTCGATGGTGAGGTCGATCGAGTGGGATCGATAGTTGGACCACATGGCGACGCAGCATCGTTACCACGCGTCGTCGCCAACTCGAGGGCGCATCACCAGCATCGTCGTCAACACCGTCACCGCACTTGCTGTAGCAGTCAGACTAGTAGTTGCGTTGTGGGTAGTCGTAGTAGTCGCAGTAGTAGTAGTAGTAGTAGTAGTAGTCGTCGTAGTAGTCCTAGTAGTAGTAGTAGTAGTAGTCGTAGTAGTAGTAGTAGTAGTAGTAGTAGTAGTAGTAGTAGTAGTAGTAGTAGTAGTAGTAGTAGTAGTAGTAGTAGTAGTAGTAGTAGTAGTAGTAGTAGTAGTAGTAGTAGTAGTAGTAGTAGTAGTAGTAGTAGTAGTAGTAGTAGTAGTAGGTAGTGGTAGTAGTAGTAGTAGTAGTAGTAGTAGTAGTAGTAGTATGTAGTAGTATGTGGTAGTATGTAGTAGTATGTAGTAGTATGTAATAGTAGTAGTAGTAGTAGTAGTAGTAGTAGTAGTAGTAGTATTAGTAGTAGTAGTAGTAGTAGTCGTAGTAGTAG